ATCATTATGAGACTAGACCCCACACAAAAAGAGAGAGCGGTTGATTCTAGCTAAGCCCAAAGAAATAACTCATTAGCAGTCGTTTGGGCTCCCGCGGGAAACTACAATAACTGGAGGCCCAAACTATCGATTAAAAGCCCATGCTTTACATAAAAAAATCCCATTGCTAAATTTTTGTTTTTTTTCAAATAATAATTTTTTTGGGTATACACTAATTAGTAATTATTAACAAAAACCATTATTGCATTCTTTTTTATTGTATATGGCTTTTAATTTTTTTTGTTATAGCGCATCAGCGGTTCTTTCAACAGTTAACAAACGATTCTATAACGGCATTGAATCATCAACCACAAATTTTTTCAGTTCAGTATCCGTTCGGATTCTGAAAGCATATGATTAAGTGCCCATATAATTACTATGATAACGAGACTAAAAATGAAACTAAGAAGGTTAATTTGACGGTTTAAATATTTATGATTCGGTCATCTCAGTACATAAACGTTGCTATTAATCATCTCAGTATACGTATTTGTATTTTTAGTGAATCCGATACATGAACTTCTTATTTATTAATACGAATTTGTGACATGGTATTAACTAGAGTTAAAATTGTCATGTATATGCCAGGGGTTGTACTTGGTCGCTTAGTATGGTGTTTAATTATCAGTCTTGTGTGGAGGGAGCGTTGTTTTTGCTTATATGGCTCTAATGCGGCAATTATCTCCTGCTTTGATATGTGTCGAGTTGAAGTGTATTGTGCTATATAGAGCTGGTTTATTTCCAGAGATTGCACGCTAGCCTAAACAGGGTTGACTAGGGGAGTTATCTTTCTCGTAATAGAAACAGGTTTTTCTTTGTAATCAATTATGATGGTTGTATGAGTTGATAGGTGCTCAAGGCATTTTTGAGTATCCGTCTTTAATGAAATTTTGATTAAACCATAAAAAAAAATTACAACATATTAAAAGTTGTTGTTCATAAAATTTTTTGTTCTCCTTATCTTATTGCTTTTCTTAATACGGTAAGAATTACCAATTAATTAAAATTTCTTGTATCGTGATAACAGTTAGCAAAAATTACTAAATAGTTAATAGAGAACCGACTAACTATATTTGGTCATAACCGAACCAACCGAATATGAGGCCTATAATGACGTGTAGATTTCACGATACCATTCGTATCTCCCATGAATAAATATCTACAAATCCATTCATGGCTACGATCTATTCATCCCGGTCCCTGAGCCGGAAACAAGCCTCGCCAAAGAATAGCTTTTGACAAAATCCAGATGGATCCAATCATCCAGCACCCAAATCCACCAAGTTGGATAAGCTCAAAAGCTAAACCGACCCGGCCCATTAGCACCAAACAAACACGCGGCCCGCATCAGCAGCATGTTATAGTAGTAAAGCATAAGTTTCTGGGAGAAGAAAACAAAGGCAGGGGGAAGGTGGTAACAAAACCCGAACCTACGGGTACCCATCCGAACCAACCCGGTCAATGCGGATAAAATTTGTGTTGACGAGATTTGGGCCGGGTTGGGTTATAAACCTGTTCACTATTCATCAGGTCGGGTTGGGTTTGGGTTTAGGTAAACCCGACTCATGGGTACCCGCCCACACCCATATAATTAATTTTCTCGGTATATTTAATATTCTAAACAACTAATCTTATTTATGTTTGTGGAGACATGTCTAATTTTTTCTTTCTAATGGTGTAGAATGAAGTTGATGTTATGGGTAAAATACCTCGAGTACCACTAAAGTTTGAGAATTGGGGCAGACATACCACTTAAGTTTGAATAGGGCGTTGGGTACCATTAAAGTCACCAAAATGTGCATCCGTCTAGTTTTCCATCCAACCCAAAATTTTAATTACTTTTTGGTACCCAAAACTTTTAAAAGCATCCAAAACTATATTTCAACGAGTTTTTATCTAATATAGAAATTAAGAAAACCTTCAAAACATAATATTACTTAAATGATTAATCAAAATTTTCAATAAAATAGATAAGTTAGTAAAAATAATAAACAAATATCAAAGAAGAATACATATATAGAACATAATAATCAATATTCAAAATCAATAAAAATAGTTAAAATAGAATCTAATTGATCATCAATACATCAAGACCAAAGAAAGATAAATGGAACATAGTCAGAAAGAATTAAACATATTACAGTAATTGAAGAAAATTTAGAACGAAAGTAACCAAGAAAATTATACAACATCCAGATGATGTACGAGAATTAAATATAACATCCTCATATTATTTATATCGATATAGAATTCATAGGATATATTTGCTTAAGCAAATTATTCTATTATTATAACACATAATGGTAATTTAAAGTACTTATAATGATAATTGATTCTACATTTCCTATTAAAAAATTGGTTTGGTATCAAAATCTTTAAAAAAAGAGAATAATTCAATTTTTAGAAAACATAATGATAATTGAAAATACTTATAATGATAATTGAAAATACTTATAATGATAATTGATTTTAAATTTTCTATTAAAAAATTAATTTGGTATCAAGTTTTTAAAAGAGGATACCAATTAAATAATAAAAATTGATGTTTTTCATAAGTTAAAATGATTTTTTACAATAAGAAAAGTAGAATGACCAATTAAGACATTTAGAAAACAGAATATTCTTAGGATATTCTGTTAACTTTAACGGAATGCACTTAACATTAAACTTAAGTGGTACCGGGTGCACAAATAATAGAGTTCAGTGGTACCCGACGCCTTAATCAAACTTAAGTGGTATGTCTGCCTCAATTATGAAACTTAAGACTAACTCCAACCCAAAAGGTTATATTTAGCCTCTCAGGCTCTCAAATGTGCATTTTTACTTTCCAAAAACACTTTTTTGCTCCAACCCTAAACCTTCTAAATTTGCCTTCCCAACTCATAACCAACCAATCAAAAATTAAGAAAGTAAAAAAAAAAAAAAGATGCTGGAAAGTGGAGGGCCCCAGCATGTGGGCTTGGGTTCCATGGTTGGTCCCCCACCTTCTCCTTGCATTTTTCCATATCAGCTTCTATCTATCCACCCCCAAGCCCATTTTCAAATTTGCAAGCCAAATAATTGGTGGATTGGAGATGAAAAAAAGCCAAAAACCTCTCTTTCTCCAAATTTGCATGCTTGGGTTGGAGACAGTCTAAGTGGTATCCGAGGTATATTCTAGAAACTTAATTGAAAGGAAGAAGCTTTCAATCAATCATGTTATTTATGGATTTGAGTTTTCTAGATTGGTGTTGAACAATTTGTATACTTAATTTGTGATTTGCTTGAATTTTCTATAATAGTGTTTTAAATATGGATAATTTGTATTTAGAGATTGATATTTGACTTTAGTTTTGATAGGAACTTGTTATTGTAAATCTTTTACGACAAAAACCCGCGGATACCCAACAGATTAGGTTGGGTTTGAGTTATTCAAACCCAATGAGTTTTACCCCGAATTTTTTTCACGGATAAACTAATGAATTTGAGTTTGGATTTGGCAAAACCCGACCCAACCCTACCCATTGCCATCCAACGCAGGGATGAGATACGGTGACAACCCTCTTAGGGGTTGTGAGATTCACAACCCACTCACTAACCGTTGGATACACTCTCTTTCCTGTCTCTTTCTTCTTTTTTTAAGTTGATGGTTAGGATTAAAAGAAGGGTATTTTTGGAAAGGAAAAATGTTAACACACCCAATCATTCTCCCTCCCATATAAATAAAATAAAACCTCTAACTCCTCCCTCTCCCCATCATCTCTCTCTTTCCCTCCTCCCTCTCTCCAGACAGCACTGCCGCCGGCCTCCACCACCGCTGCCGCCTCTCTCCACCCACCCTCATCTCTCTCTTTCCTCTCCTCCCCCTCTCTCCACCGCCATGGATGAGATCTCATCCCCATCACAGCAGCTGCAGCAGCTTCCCATAAGCACCACCACGAAAACAATCAAGGAGAAGCAGCTGCCCCCCCCCCCCCGGCCGGCAAGGAACCGGCCGCGCCGCTGTCCTCCCCCCGCGCCTCGCCGCGCCGCTGTCCTCCCCTTCCACCACCATTTTTATGTCGTCGCCACCGCGAGGTCAAGACTCATCCCTATTTTTTCCTGATCTGATAGTCTCTACCGGTACCAATACCACTGGTAGCACTATTGGTACCAATACCACTGGTAGCGCTATTGGTACGCTACCACTACTCACTGGTACCAATACCAGTGGCTCCCCTATCATCTGGTACCACTATCATCTGTTTTTTATTTATTTGCTACTGGTACCGCTACCAATGCTAGTGGTAGCGCTACCAGTGCTAGTGGTAGCGCTACCAGTGCTAGTAGCGTTGTGTTATTCTCTACTGGTAGCGTACCACTAGTACTGGTACATTTTTTACTGGTACCGCTACATTTTTAACGTACTGGTAGCGTACCACTAGCACTGGTATATTAATTATCAGTAGACTAATAGATTGGTACACTTTTTAACGCATTGGTACATTTTTTCAGGTTGCCGGAAGGAGTCTGCCGGAGAGAATTTGTCGGAGAAAAAGTTTGTCGGTCGATGCGGAGTGGCTGCTAGAGAAAGGAAGAGAGAGAGATAGATAGAGATATTAATTTATAGGATTTAAATTTCAGAAAAAAATTGTATTTAATATGGGTTTTTAATTCCCAATATAATTAATACAAAAAACGTAATTAATATATTCATTTTTTTCATACTCAAAATACCCTTGGTTGTGAATCTGGGGTTGTCACCGTATCTCGTCCCTCCAACGCACGCAGACGTAGACAAGAACCGCATAACTGTCGAATTGAGTGACAGAGAGAGAGAGGGGAGAGAAAAGAGTTATCCGCAGTGACGGCCACACACCACACTCCTTCACTCTCCTGACGCCACGTGTGCTCCAGATCAGGCGGGCCCCACCTCACTCCTCCTGTCCTCGGTTATCCCCTCCTCGAACCGCGCGACCAAAACATCCCTGTATAAAGTGCGGAAAATTAAAAAATAAAAATCTCCGACTCCCCTCTCTGTCTGTATCTCTGCCTGCCTCCATTGAAGAAGAAAAGAAGGAAAATAAAGATGGATCATGCGGCGGATGCACTGCGGACGGACTTGATGACGATAACGAGGTACGTGCTGAACGAGCAGTCGAAGCACCCGGAATCTCGCGGCGACTTCACCATCCTCCTCAGTCACATTGTTCTCGGCTGCAAATTCGTCTGCTCCTCCGTCAACAAGGTCCCTCCCCTTCCCTTTACTGATTGATTCCGTCCGTCCGTTCATCAATGTTTCTACTGAATCCAAATCAATCCCATTATCCCAATCAATGAATGGATTCGCTTAGCAGTTTTCTTCCCTGACGATCGAGGAGCACCATAATCTGTCAATTTTTTTTTTAACAAATCCGTAATCCGTTTTTGGTATTTTATTATTTCCTAGCTACATATTTTATTTCTTGCCTTATCTGATTGCTAGTGGTTGAAGGTAATCTACTCATTAGGTTCGTCGGTTCATTCTCGAACAAAAAACCGGAACCAAAATTGTCAAACAAAAATATGGTCACCCGTTGACGCGTCACCTTGAATTGTGGTATCATACTGTATCGGCGAGTCAATTGCAAAATATAAATATTGGAGGCTGTAGTATTTAATAGTATTAATCGTTAAACTACCGAATAAACTGTAATTTCATCATAAAATATTAAATATTCCACTGATTTTTCTGCTACGGTACTTGAAACTCTCAGATATTTGGTAGAATTTTTTAATAATATATATTTTTTTGACAAACACAAACATTTGTCAAACAAAGAATTTGTTATTAATCATTTTTGTTTGGTTTTCTATGATATATTATCTTTATCTTATATATATGTGCAGGCTGGTCTGGCCAAGTTAATTGGGCTTGCTGGGGAGACCAATGTTCAGGCAAGTTTGACACTTGGGCCCGAGCTCATTCTTTTTTGCTTCATTCTTCAACTTTATTCTCAGGATATGCTCATGGGCCAGATAGACCCCAGAATCAGAATCATTTAACATATTCTTGTAACAAACAGAGGAAGAAAACAAACATCACTTGGTAGCTTTATTTGGTTCTGATTAATACTATGTTTTGTCAATCCTGAACCAGCTAATAGCAAATCATTACCGTGGTTAATGGAGGATTATCTACATGTTGATTAATTGCCATTTACATGTAGGGCGAAGAGCAGAAGAAACTGGATGTGCTCTCCAATGATGTCTTTGTCAAAGCATTGGTCAGCAGTGGCCGCACTGTAAGTAGCACACATTTCCCTCTCTCTCAACAGAAAACATTTAACTAGTCCACTACTTTCTGACTTTGATCATCATACTTTTAGTGCATTCTTGTGTCCGAGGAAGATGAGGAAGCGACCTTTGTCGAGCCAGCGTTGCGTGGCAGGTACTGTGTTGTCTTCGATCCCTTGGATGGATCCTCCAACATCGACTGTGGTGTCTCCATTGGAACGGTATAATGACCAAACTTCAAATGTATACACCCTAATATATAACGTTGTTTTCAGTGTCTGGCTAATGATTTGTTGTTGCTGTTTTAAGTGGCTGGAATGGGTTTTTGGTTGTCTGTGTAGATTTTTGGGGTTTACATGGTGAAAGATTTTACTGAGCCCACTCTAGACCAAGCGTTGCAGCCAGGGAAGAACATGGTTGCTGCTGGTTACTGCATGTATGGAAGCTCTTGCACGGTATAATTAATATAGCCCATTGTTTTTCTGAAGTAGTACTACTGTCTTCCTGTCGAAAAACTCCATCTTTCCTTTGTAGCTTTCTCCAAATGCTGTTTACAATGCAAATGATTTCCATTGTGGTGTTGCAGTTGGTGCTGAGCACAGGGAGTGGAGTGAATGGGTTCACTCTTGATCCATCCCTTGGGGAGTTCATACTCACCCACCCTGATATTAAGGTTGCTGCACTTTCAATGTTTGCTGCTATTGACTCCAAATAAACTTAGTAGTTATAGGTTTCTTTCTTTGAGTTGATTTATGGAGGGAACTTCAATCTTGTGCAGATTCCAAAGAAAGGTAAGATCTATTCAGTGAATGAAGGGAATGCCAAGAATTGGGATGGTCCTACAGCCAAGTAACCAATTTTATTCCTGACATAGTTCATTGTTTAAATAACTTGTTTCTTCTATGCCTTACTTTGACAATTTGTGGCTCTCAACTCTTTAAGGTATGTGGAAAACTGCAAGTTCCCTAAAGAAGGTTCCTCACCAAAGTCTCTTCGATACATTGGAAGGTAGGTACCTATGGGGAAAATGTTACCTCCCAATCTAGTCTTTTGCTACTCTGTGCTGTGACCTTTCACCTTTCACATTCTACAGTATTGCATATTATGAACTTCTTTAAAATGCAGCATGGTTGCTGATGTGCACCGCACGTTACTTTATGGAGGCATATTCTTGTACCCAGCCGACAAGAAAAGTCCCAGTGGCAAACTTCGGTAAGCTTTCGATTTGTGATTTCCAGTTAGTATTCTGTTATCTTGTAGGAACAAGCTGAATAGCTTGATTCAAACTGATGTTGACATGGTTTCCATTACATTTGGCGGTTTACAAAACTAGTGTCTTGTACGAAGTCTTCCCAATGTCATTCCTGATGGAGCAAGCTGGAGGTCAGGCTTTCACCGGCAAGGAAAGGGTAAAGACTTGTTTCCTACCCGTTGTCGTATGATTTGAAGTTTTTCATATCATTGTTGAACTCATGATTCGAATCTATATGGTAAAATCAGGCACTAGACCTACTCCCAAAGAAGATACACGAGCGATCTCCCATTTTCTTGGGGAGCTATGACGATGTGGAGGAGATCAAAGCGCTCTATGCTGCTGAGGCAAAGAACTAATGGATGGAGGAGGGAATGATTATCCATCTTAATTATATGGTGTTCTGCAGCATAGCTGTTGTGTCTAATGGTGGACTTTGCATAGAATCTTAAAGAAGTTTCAACAATTGTCAATTCTCCAATACAATGATATACTTGTTTCTGGTCATGTACGATACATATATATACCAATCCCATATTTTGAATAAGCTACAAATGTTGGTGGAAGTGTCCTGTTGTAGTCTGGTGATGTGGTTTCCCTGGATTGTTGATTTGCAATAAGCACAACAGGGGAAGTAGAGATTTGCTCGTTGCATAAAAAAGACTTTTGTAAGATTAGAACTCAAGGTAGGTCGGTCTATTTCACATAATATTCTGATAGGTCAAGAAGTGATGCAATTTTCAAAGACCAAAGGTAGGAATAAATGGACGGAGCTTAACCTTGATATGGAGAAAGTGTACGACTGAGTGGAATGACGATTTCTATTCTCGCTATTGCCGGCGCTGTTTCTTTTTCTTTTTGTGAACGATGGCTCAAGACTTGTAAAAATGGTAAGATTGTATTTACTCATGAATGGTGTTGATTATGGATACTTTGAATCTCATAAGTGAATCTGACAAGGTGATCCCTTATTCCCTCTGTTGTTTGCCCTATACTCGAAAGTCTTTTTTGTCAAACTGTTAGTTGAGATAGTAAGCTCGTCCCTGCATGGTCTGCGAGTTCATGGGACCTCATAACAAATACCTAGAGCCCATCACAAGTACATCGTTCTAAGGTGATTCCATTTTGAAACATTGAGGAATGATTGGTCACAAGAATCTAAAGTTGGAAAGCACAACTATATATGGCATTGGTGGCAAAAGAGGTGGTAATCAAATCTATTGATTAGGTTCTCCTATATATGATATGTCAACTTTTTGTTTACCTTCTCCAGTGTGTCGCATATGCAATAGTCAACTTCTAAGGTTTTAGGGGGGCGATCAATATAAAGAAGATGGGATGCACTAGATATAATGGCACGACATCTGACAAAGTAAATTTGAAGGTGGGTGCGATTTAGAGATTTTAATCGTTTCAACATTGCCTTACTTTCCCAACAAGCATGAAATTGCTCCATGAGTCGAAAGTGATCTTATCTAGGTTGTATAAAGCGAGGTAGCATCTTAACAAGTCGTATTCGGAAGCTTCAGCTGGCATGCTGCCTTCATGGGCATTGCAAGGCATTCAGGAAGTCATAATTTACTGGCTTGTGGATTGCGGTGGGAAATTATCTTAGGAGAACCCGTGAGAATTTTGATTGACAAGTGGATTACTACAATCCGTCCATCTTCTCCCACTATACTTCCAGGTACTTCCCTTTCCTAAACTTGCATAATATACCTGATTTGGGTAGCAACTTGGAGCTTGAATAATCCACTAATTCGCTTCCTATTCACCTCACATTCAATTTCATGGATAACTACAATTCTTTTAGCTTCTGCTAGTCGTGGATCGCCTCATTTGGCACTTCTCTGAATCATGGGAGTATAATGTTAAGACTGACTATCATTTACTAACCAATGAGTTTGACCTTTGAACTCCCTGGAACCTCTTCCTTTTGACGGTAGGTTTTAGAAACAGTTTTGCAACCTTCCTATATCCTAACTGAACGAACCCAAGATTTTGAATCTTGAGGTCGAAGATAAAAAAATTATACATATATCTTTACTTTAGTAAAATCAAATAAGTAAATCACAAGATTTTCTGAATAATTTCTCTAAATTATCTGGTCTGCATTGTAACCCATTGAGATGTGAGGTTTTCTTCCGGGGAGCTATTGTGGTGTTTAAGAATAATGCTTTGATGATAATCACAGGATTCGGAGATGACTCCTTACTTGTTAGGTATTTAGGGCTGCCTCTACTTTCTGGGAGATTAACTAGCAAAGTGTGTGACTTATTGGTGGATAGGATCACTTCCCGGATCAGTTCATGGAGAGCGAGCAAATGGACTGATGCCGGCAAAATGCAGCTCATCTCCTCAGTTCTGTACTCAGTTGCTCAGTATTGGATGTCCCTTTTCTTGCTCCCAAAAAAGTTATAGCTAGAATAGATAAGGTCTACTCAGACTTTCTTTGGCACAAGAATGTGTTTTCCGTGGTGGAAAATCTGGTGTTTGATATTAATACTTTGCACCTTAACTTCTTGAACAACGATTAATAACACGGTTCACACCTCTCCGAACAATGTTCGAACGAGAGTGTTTGATGATTTTGATGGCTGTTTGTGAAAGAACTAAGTTAATTACACCTACGCCTATGGAGGTTCAGAGAGAGCTCCGGAAACTACAAGTTATGACTTATTTGCAGAGAAAAGATAAAAGTTTGACATAGTGGTCAAAGGGTATGTTGTGGAACCCTTGCTTCTTCTTCTTTTCTCCTATTTATAGCCACAAGGTGTAACTGCCTTGGTAACCACCCTAGTAACTGCTAGCCGACTTGTTGCTCCAACCGCCTTAGGGAGGGACCCCTTGTCGCCGCCTTGGTGTTGACTCCTATCACTTTGGGGCCTCTTGCCCCGTCTTATTGACTTGGCAGTACTTGAGGGCCTCGAAGCAAAGTAGGGTTGGTGTTGAGTCTTCCTGCCTTGTTTTGACTGTATGGGGTTGAAGCCCTTAACCTTGCCTCAATAATGAAGTCTCGACCACACACTTGGCAACCCCCAAGGCTCCATACTTAGTTTCGTTGTTATCGTCTTGCTTCTGCTTTAGTTGTCTCTCTGGCTTGATACCCCCTGCCACCAAGCTAGTCATGATGACCCCTACTACCAAGCAGTCTTGCCGGCTTGGTCTCCATACTTAGTTTTTAGAATCTAATCAAGTTGGTACATTGTCGCCCCGCCTACTTTGTACTGGGGACGACCAAACACGTCTTGGGACTTAGTCTCCATATGGGCCCCTAAGGGGTTCTACACCAATTTTCCATCAAGTTGATAATCTGTAAGCTCGGTATCTTGGCTGAAAAGTCTCCACCCTCGAGGTTCCATACTTGGTCTTGATAATCTAGTGATTCCAAGCCTGCCTTTTCCATCAAGTTGATAATCTGTAAGCTCGGTATCTTGGCTGAAAAGTCTCCACCCTCGAGGTTCCATACTTGGTCTTGATAATCTAGTGATTCCAAGCCTGCCTTGTTGGCTTGGTACCCTTTTGTTTGGTAATCCTGCCTTGCCGGCTTGGTACCTTATCATTTGGCCCCTTATTGCTATGGCTGGTATGACACCCTGTCGTATGGCCCCCTAGCCATGGGATCCATACTTGCCCAAATTTCATACATTGATACCAATCATGCCAAGCTTGCCTTGCCGACTTGGCAACTTCTTGACTCTATAATTGGCCAAACTTCATGTCTTGATACCAAGCCTACCTTGTTAGTTTGGTACCCTGTCGTATGTCCCCTATAGCCATGAGACTTCCATACTTAACCAAATTCCATATTTTGGTACCAGGCCCTGCCTTGTCGGCTTGGTACACTGTCGTTTGACACCCTTTCGTATGACCCCTTAGCCATGGGATTTCCATACTTAGCCAAATTCCAAGTTTTGGTACCATGCTCTACCTTGTCTGCTTGGTACCTTGTTGTTTTGGTACCAGGCCCTGCCTTGTCGGCTTGGTACACTGTCGTTTGGCACCCTTTCGTATGACCCCCTAGCCATGAGATTTCCATACTTAGCCAAATTCCATGTTTTGGTACCAGGCTCTACCTTGTCGGCTTGGTACCCTGTTGGCTCCATACTGAGCCAAATTTTATGTTTGGGTACCAGGCCTGCCTTGTCTACTTGCTACCATGTTGGCTCCATACTTAGCCAACTTTCATGTTTGAGTACAGTCCTGCCTTGTCGGCTTGGTACCCTCTTGGCTCTATACTTAGCAAATTTTCATATGTTTTGGTACCAAGCTTGCCTCGTCGGCTTGGTACCTGGTTGCTTGCCTACCAAGCCTATTTTGCCTTGCTTGGTAGCCTTAGCCTACCGAGCCTCTTTCGTTGGCTTGGCACCCTATTTTTTCGCCTTGTTTCCAGACTTAGTTTTTTGGAGTCAAATTTCTTACCAAGGGGGTGGAGGCGTCGTCCGGCTATGGGGGCAAAGGAAACGGGTTAGCCATCGTGTATGAGAGGAGCTTGGCCTCTTAGGCCCAAAAACCAACCCAATAAGGTCCAACTAGATCTTTTAATGTTTAATATTGAGCTGGCCTTATCAATCCATTAAATATTTGGTAATTAATCGATGTGGTACAATTTAATTTTTTTATGGGTAAACAAATGCCCGCCACAACTTAGTGTATAAGGATCATGCACTAAGTTGTTAACACCAACTACATTACCTAGGAGATTAATTGAATTCCACCATCCCCAAATCTAATAAGAAACCACAACACAAAGCTACGCAAAACACAGCGTGGCTTTATGAATGAGATATCTCACATTGTTCTCCTAGTTAGTCAAATTTCCCTTAGCTTAACCACAAAACCATTTAATCATGGCCTTGGCCCAAGTCACGTCATCTGGGCCAAATTAATTGGCCACCATCAACAGGAGAAAAAAACAAACTATTTTTCATATGAGACATGCCAAGCAATTGTATGGCCAATTCGCCTCCACAACTTGGCCCTTTAGTGCTTTCCCTAGGCAAGGTGCTCCTTTACTGCCTTAGTACTTAGCAATAAAATTTTTTATTAATAAAATATGATACAATATACTTGTATTCACTGTCCCACTACCAATGACATACTTCTATGCCAACATACCCTCTGTGTATGTCTAGCTGTTCAAGCTATACTCCATCAAGAGGGCATGGGAGGCTTGGCATGCTGGCATCAAGGTGGTCGAATAACATTGAACTCGTTGAAAACTCACGTTCCAAAGAGAAGGACGGGATTTGAGACACTCAACATTGATGAATTGATCATGTAGCCCCTATCTTGATAATTTAACAAGCAGGGCTCCTTGGACGGTTGACTTGGATGATAAAGGGTCCAGGTCAAACACTCAACCAACTACTCATGCCATGTAACTGGCATGTACACCCATCAATCTAGAGATTGTAAAGGAATCCATAGACATTGTTGTTTACACGTCATGGCAAGGCCCTCACCTCTTATACACACACACAAAAATTAGCCATAGTTGGCCTATGAAAATTTTTTCCTTGTATTTTTTTAATATATTTACCTATTTTGATATAGCAGAGAGTGACTTGCATCAATTCTCTCCATTCCCTTTGGCAACCACCAAAGCGCCAAAGGTGTACATCCACTACCAAGTCCATGGATTTAACTAGACCAACCATCCATACACTACATGTCTTCCCTCCTTAAGGGGAGAAAACTCCTTCGATGTTGATCTCGAATTTTCCAACCTAATAATGGATGATACCCGCTCAACATGCTTTGCCTTGGTGGCTTGCAAGGGGTCCCCTGATCCTCTGCCTTAGCCAACTTACTAGACATGTTGTGTTGATTATGAACCTGATGTGTTTGCCTCGTCCCAAGTGGTACATTAGGCATCTTCAACTCCTTAGCCTCATAAAAGGGACCACGGGTTTA